GAGTATATCATTATACAAGTACGAATTAGGGTAAACCTTTATATTTACCGGAAAAACCGTGGATTTACCAACAAGCAACAAGTTACGGTAAAAGTTCAAAGTGGTTAAACGACCAAACTCTTGTTTGTTAGCTCGAAACTCTGGTCTTATGGATAGATAGATGTAGGATAGAGGTATTTTAGTCCTCGGAAAGACTCCGAAGAGTTGTTTGGAACATGGTCCCTATTCCCGTTATCGTACTATTCGCACCATTTCTTTGCGGATTTATCTGTCATCAGCCGTAATACCCAACCGTTACACGATAGGTTTCTTTATGAACCTAGCAAACTCTGTGATACTCTCTTATCTTTAATGGCTCCATTGCTCGTCTGTCCCCAACCTTATTAATTAATTTAATGTGACAGTTGATTTACATATACATATCTCAAGATTACATTGTTCGCTGTTTTAGGCGTGACTAAGCCACGCTGGTTTAGCGCGGGTTGAGTGACTTCACAGACACCATTTCTTCGCTGTTACGCGCCCGCGCCGTTTGCATCATGATGTTGTTCTTTATCACAGGAACATCGGATACATTTTAAATTCCAGTCCAATGATAGATATCAGCGCTCGATTACAACAGAAACAATGTAAATGTGCCTGACCTCTAGCCCCAGCACTTTTGGTCAAAACGAAATTTAGCTGGCGCCCTGCGCCCTGGACCCATGGCACTCCTCACTCCGGGCGATGCTTACCAGCTCTTACAATATCTTCATATTGACTTATAGTTTGCTGTTCGCTAGTTTCTTTCCGTGTATTCATTCATTATATTTGATCTATAAATAATATGAGTGTATAATGAGTTGGCATCGTGCTCTGCCAACAAAGTGTATCGTGCCGACCTGCGCTCTCCTACTAAATGTCGAGCGTCGACCGGTCACGGGGTACAACAGCGTGCGACTTCGCATGCATACGTGCGACATGCAACATAACGTATTGCATTCAGATCTCGTAGACGTCAGATTTCAGAGCGTGTTACAGCCGAAATAACACAGTCCCGCCATCCTCCATTTACCGGTATCTCGCATGCAGTCGCATGACCTTTCTGGTGGTATACCCCTGCTCACTCATAACTAAGTTTTTTTGTTACATGTGATTCATCCCGATTCCTAACATGACCATACCATGCTCACCTCTTACTCCTATAACGTTTGACGACAATAACATTTTATTTGAAAAATAAGGGTTTATTTTAATTTTTCGTCTCATTTGCGTCTTAAGGCCAGGAATATGATGTATTGAGGTGGGGGAACGTTCGCTTCAACCCTGCACTCCACAACTCACTTTCACGAAAATTAAAACATTTAACTTACAACTTTAACTTTAACTTTAACAACAATTTTAAATTAATTGAAATGTGATAGTTACTCTTTGTCTGTGAATGTGTATAAACATCCTCGATAACTATGAATGTGATACGCAATTTCTAAACTATCATCTAGAAAATGTAATACAAGTATTACTTGCGATAGAAGGCTCGATCCTAATGCTGGTAATTGGCTGTTTTCATAATTTTACGAGATGTCGATGACAAACTTTGTTAGCGCGGAATTAAAAAAAAATTAGTCGTCTGAGACATTCCCGCGTGCATCAGCTAAATTCCCATCATATTTGTCCCGTCAGTATCGGTCCAGCCGATCCGGACATAGCGATCGGCCGCCATTTTGACAGCGCGGATTAAAAAAAATATCATACTTCATACTCATACTAATATTATACGAGTACATGCGAAAGTTTAGATGGATGGATGGATTGATGTTTGTTAGAGTTTGTAGCCTAAACGGCTGAACTTATTACAATGAAATTTGGTATAGATGTAGAGGATAGTCTGGAAGAACACGTAGGCTACTCACGTTTGTTTTTTTAATTTTACGCGAACGGATTCGCGGGAGAAAACTATTATCTGTTCACTGTTGGACTTAGGCCTTCCCCATATACCTTCCGCAGATTGCGGAATATGCGACCTCAAATTCCCCATAAAATTTACAAGGCCATCGTAAGACCTGTCATGATGTATGGATTTTAATGTTTGCCAGTAAAAGGGACGGATGAAAGGAGACTACCGTTTCGGAAAATAGCCGGAACAAATTAAGCTTGCGGACAGACCGACAGTAAATGCGATTTTCGTTACCAGCAACGCAAATATTTTTCAACGCAAATTCTTTCATCATCAGAAAGGTAATTTATCTGTGAGTAACAGGCTATATTTTATTATTACTAATGTTAAGGAACTATTAATAAACAGCGTGTATCTGAACGCCGGCGTTAAAAACACACTAAACTTTAACTTTTCTCGGCTTACGCTGCCTAAACCGTTAGAGGTTTGTTATCAAGAGAATTTAATGTAGAATAAAATTGTCCTTTACAGTATTTAAATTGGACTAATAGTTTAGAAGATATCGCGAACACAAACAATAAGGATAACCGAAAAATCAGTTTACAAGCTACCGGCCTTAGAAAATACAGATAGAGATGAGTTTTCTGTTCCTCATCGGTGGTATTTTATTGCTTAAATCAGAGTTCCCCAAACTTTTTTGTATCGTAGACCCCTTGCCATGTTTTTCCGTGTTGGGTAGACCCCCCACCTTACCTGATATTGATTTCCTGTAAATTTCTAACTATACTTAAGTTAAGTATTAAAAACTTAATGTAAAAACATGTTAATTTATACATTTAATATTTGAATTTAAATTAAAACTTCTCATAATAATTAATGTATATGTTTTAATATTATAAGTTTATCAGACAGTATGATGTAAGTAAATAGGTATTATCAGTTTATGTGTTGATCCACTATCGTGGACCCCATTTCATGGACCCCCAATTTTTTTTCGCTGACGTAGACCCCTTGCAAGTTGTCATAGACACCTAGGGGGCGATATAGACCATTTTGGAAATCACTGGTTTAAATGGAACAATGTATTTCCACTGCGGTGACACTTATTTATACATGACTAGCTTTCGCCCACGACTCGTTCGCCTGGAATTCAAAAAAGGTCCTTCCAGGCATTCATCTAAATCTATACCCATCTAGATACGTTCATTAGTTTAGGCTACAAAACCTAACAAACACCCAACTATCGATCAATCCATCCTAACCTTCGCATTCATGGTATTACTAAGCTTGTGTTTTTTTATCAGAGATAAGTTAAAATATGACAATATCATTATAATGTAATGTACGAGTATTATCTAATTTAAGTGTGTTGTGGCGTTGCTTTTGCGGTGTGCGAAGCGTCTAGGACGGGACGAGGACGCGACGAGACCACCCACCAGTACAATAACGGTGATCATTAAGAAGTGCTGGTAGCCGGTAGTCACCGCTACAAGCGATGGCAGATTCTGTAAATTGCTTCAATCGCCTCTCTAATTTCCTGCGTCGGATCCGGCAACAGACGAGACTTGCAATTAAGAAATTTAAACGAATCTTTATTAGCAATGGGAAAGCGAAACAATTTACGAGATTGATAGTGGATTAGTTTGACAGCTGAGTTTGCGAACTATATAACTAACTCGCGTGTGCGTTCCTTCAGACCATGTTATTCATGTGTGCGTTGTTAGTGTTAAATTTATGAAGTATCGGAGAAAACAAGTTAATATTTAATCAACCAAATAAATCTATAATTTGCGAGATTTTTATATCTCAATATGTATTCATTAAAGAGTTTGTTTTATTAGTCAACATATAGATTTTCGGTAGCTACATGTTTGATTTTGAATTGAATAAAGGAATACTTAACTACTTATAAGCAATATGTATTCAAAGTAATATTCACATTAGTAATAGTTTGAATTAAATGTGCGGATATTTAGTTTTCATTCATTCAACCACACGTAATATACAAAAATAATCGAAGTTTTTATTACAATGATATGAAAATCTCAAACGCCGTAGACCCGCTGCAAATGTGTGTGCATTATGAATTATGACGCCTAGCTCTGAGCCCTTCAGAAAAGAGATGTCAGTGCGCAGGTGAGCGGGCGGCAGAGTGGCGAAGGAATGGCGGGGGCGCGGCGGCGGCGGCCAATTCGAACGTAAAGGGGCACTCGTCTCAATTGCGAAATTACGAGAAAGAATCGAGTTTCCTTCTTACTGACAATTGTGGCGGCCCACTCACTTGCCACTGCCCGCTTCCTATCCCATTGCCCATTGCCTAGTGCCCTTTGCCCAGATTTTAGAATGCCACCGAAAGATCTTCAATATAGTATAATGTATTCACTTGGTACGGATTACAAATTTTTGTTAGAAACGTAAAGTATTTTATGGAAATATCAGATAAAATGAAGTAAGTATTATCCAACTGTACTCGTATATCATATTCATACTAACTAGTATGTTATGGTATAAATGGCATTTGGATGGATGAATGTTTCTTACTATCTATCTCCCTAAACGGCTTAACATTAGTGTAAGGAAGGTGTAGAAGAATATATGTCCCTATTTATTTTTTATTTTTTATTCCGCGTGGTTGAACTCGCGCCTAAAAGTTTTCTATAAAAAATAAACATACAGACGAATTAGGTACCTCCTTCTTTTGGTCGGTCAAAAAATTTATAAAACAAATGCGCGTACACGATTTTATATTTTTTTAATTTGACATCCATTAGAATGCCAGTTAATGTCGAGGTGATAATAATAGAACATGTACAAAATGAGAGTGATAATGAACATGAAAGTTGCGTAGCGAGAGCTGCTAACAAGCTGCTTCGTTTCGCACGCCGCTAATGAATTGCGGCGGCGGCGGCGGCGGCGGCAGCGGCGGCGGAGGTGCAAGGTGCTCTGCATTAAATCTAATTCCGCGGACGACTCATCGGACGTTTACATCATTCTATAAGATTTGGAACTGTTTTAAATTGGACATACCTAACTAGAAGAGGGCAAGGTGATACAATACCTAGAGAAGTTAGCTGATACCGGTCCTGCTGCGCTTTGAAATCAAGACGTGTATGTTAGACACAAGAACAGATTTTGTTGTATAGCTCTTATAGAAACCGAAACACAAAATGCTTACCTATTTATACACTGGGTAACATGGCAGTTATTCAATAATTTAATGCGTCTAAGGTATTACAAATTTCGCATCCGAAAATTTGTTAAATCAAGTTTAAATTATTGAATATGTAACTTTATAAAAAAAACCCGCAATCAAACTATGACTCGCACTTAAACCTCGGCCCTAAATTTATATGAGGTGAGTGCGAGGGGAGATCGATAACATTAGCGATGCATCGGCCGGCTCCGCCCGCGCCCGCCGCCTCGCCCGCGGTGCCCCTCGCCGCCCGCGCCACCAGCTCCGCTCGCACTCATACTTCTCGGTGTCTGCCTACTGTTCTCACCTCCAGACCGTGAAACAACCCTTAAACCTCCGTTAATTGTATTGCAGAAAATTCATTCCTCTGCGCATCGTAGAAGAGGACAGCTACGAGAAGGACGTGCTGTTTTACGTGAACCTGGGAGAGCCAGAGCTAGTGGACGGTATGCAATGTCATCACTACATTCTCACCTCTCGTAACACCGTTACACGCACGCGCACGCGCACCACGCATGCAACACCCCGCGGCCACATCTAGCGGTTAGTCAATATAGGTTTCTCGTTGATACGTTCACATTTTATAATATTAATATTTAGCCTTAGCATGAACAAAAGACTTTTCACTTAACTCCTTTCATCCGTAAGAAATTTTCTGAGTAAACCTGGCGGCGCGCCAAAGAACTAAGCGCCGAATCCGAACAGGACATATGTTATGTATATACTCGTACCTTGAGGAGCACAGAACAAGTAACGTTATTTTACAACCAGAAACAAAACTGACTGATATTTTATGTAGCGTTGTATGGTCCGACTTGGATGGCGATGGATAGGTCATATGATGGCTTATGCCGAAGAAAAATAAAGTAGATAGCCGGTCTGCTCCACTCGTGAGTCGACTGTGATAAATACTTTTGACTCGGAAGGGATAATGTAATAAGGAATATATTTTATACTTATCCCGGTTGAGATTATAATGTCCTTATACGTGCCTGCTCGCTGCCAGGAAATGGTTGGTGCTGTCCGACACCATCGCGGTTATCATACAACCGGCATATCAGTTTATATGATTAATTATGTAATCTATCAATATTACCTATATACTGTTACATATCTCTACTTAAGTTATGTACACAACAAGACGTTATTACACTAAACATGTATTTTGTATATTACATAAGTGTGTGCCTCCTGCATAATGTTCAGTAGTAATGCATTATTGTTGCGGTATGATGTGGATGGTATGTGGCGTGTGCATTCACTTGGATACGTTTTGTTCCTGCTTGCGCGATTGACGTTGTCGTCTTGTCGGCGGTCGGGCGCGCCCTCTGGCGGCCGGGTCTTGACGCACCTTGCCCTACCTTGCCGCACCGCCTATCTATCTTCTCTCTCAAGTAAGATTAGCTTCTTCTCTATGGTAGATACTATATTAAATAGCGATGTATGTTTTATTTTGTTTGTACCATAATTATGCCTCAGCTTTAGCGCTTCAACTATCTTGTAAATATTATTATGACCTCGTAGATAAGTATATAGCGAGAAACGCTATGGCCTTGCTAAGTGTAAAGTTTCGCTTCCATGTTGATGATTGCGAGGTAGGAGCGAGCGGCTGCTCGACGCTGCGGCCCGCCGCCGCGGTCCCAGCATCAAGCAATTGTCCACAATCCCCGTAGCTGTAGCCGTTGTCACAATCTGTTTTCTGTTAAATAGCAATCAATTGACACGTAGCAGTGGCCAGTAGCGCTAAGTCCCGGCGCCGGCGCTCAGACATCTTCGATGCATTTCTATACGCAGCAGGCAAATCATTTTTTAGTTTATTTTGGTAAAAGTATGTGACGGGACGGGTCACCGGAACATCTGGTGACTGTCGGCGCTCAACACCCGACCGATCCCACATTGCTTACGGGAGAAACAATCGGTAAGTCACGACGACATATTATGTTGACGAAGACTATTCTTGTGCGAGTCTCAGTTTCCGAGTAACATGCAGTTATTGTCGTACTCCAGTAATATAATGTGAGGAAGTAAATTGAAAATTACACAACAACACAGACGGCGGCGGTGCGTGTGGGCGCTCGGGGCGGCGCTGGGGGCGCTCGGCGCGTTCGGGCCGCGGATCAGCCGAGCACCTGACCGCGCTGCCAGATCAGGAGGCGGCAGTGGCACTCAGAGGCCTGCCGCGCGCCGGTGACCTCACTCGCGCACAACTTCGGGTCAAGGAGAGCAAAGAGTTCAAGGTTCTCTCATATTTGCTTACAATACCATTTTAATGAGTATTAATACGCGACCTCTACAAATGAACGAGGAACTGCCCGAGTTGCCTTGACAGCGACACGTCGTGTTGCAGAGTACGGTGGACAAGCTGGTGCAGCGTGCGAACGCCTCCATCATAATCGGGACGTCGTCGTGGAAGGAGCAGTTCTCAGAGGCGTTGACGGCAAACTCAGGTGGCGTCCCTTACATGAGTTCTGAGTGAGGTGCGAGCAGGCGGAGGAGGGAGAGGTGGCTGAGGCGCGTCTCGCTGTTGCAGGTGCTGAGCCCGAGCAGCCGCCCTCGTGGTCGGACTACGTGCTCCACGCGATCACTTTGTTTTGGAAAATTCTTTTCGCATTCGTCCCCCCCACCGGTGAGTTGTTCCGACGTACGTTTTATGGAATAGGAATTAAAGGGAACAAATATGAATATGAGAAAGAGATATTTACTGGGCCAATATTCATTTATTCCCAAAAAATTATGACAAGTAAGAAAATCGCATACTATATCCACATTCTTTAACTTGTTATATATAAAATCTTTACATTTGACTAAGTTCACCTATATTACAGTAAAGAGTATTTATTTCTGTTCTTGTGGCGGTTGTTGTGACAGACATCGGGGGCGGGTACGTGTGCTTCGTGGTGTCTATCGTGTGCATCGGCCTGGTGACGGCGGTGATCGGCGACGTGGCGGCGCACTTCGGCTGCACGCTCGGCATCAAGGACTCCGTCACCGCCATCGTCTTTGTCGCGCTCGGCACCAGCATACCCGGTCTGTTCCTCCACCTCCTTATCACCCTTTATTCTTCATAACTAAATCATTTTATTATTAGGTTTTTATATATCATAATGTGGCATACGAGCAAACGGCCAGCCGACCCATTCGTGCGAAGATATTCGAACAGGCTTTATCACTGTTGTTATTATTCTACGACCTATTCTAATTACTTCTTATCCTACTTTAAAGAATTTTTTACAGTGAGATACCTAATCCATTAAACGGCTAGCAGCGCGACTGCGACGAGGAATATCATTCGCATCGGGCGTCCTTATTTATACCTACCTACACACGTCGCTAACAGACTCGCGCAGCTAACTGCGCTACTGAAACCTTTTGTAATTTTACGGTTTAAAAATTTACTAAAAAAATAACTTTCTAACATTAAAAACACAATAAAACTTAGAGATTCGTATATAGATTGTATAGCAATGAATCCGCAAGCGACGAGCAGCGGGCAATGTGACACGTGTACTCCTATGTGGCAGACACGTTTGCCAGCAAGGTGGCGGCCATCCAGGACCAGACAGCGGACGCGTCCGTGGGCAACGTGACGGGCTCCAACGCGGTCAACGTGTTCCTCGGCATCGGCGTGGCGTGGACCGTGGCCGCCGCCGTGCACCGCGCGCGCGGCGAGCCCTTCCGCGTCGACCCCGGCAAGTGAGCGCTTCTGCCTTCGCCCCCCCTCAGCCGCCTCTCACACTCATTGCCGCCTCATGACCGTCATCCCGATATCCACGTCCCCCTGTCGTGATCGAAAGATGATTCGCTTTATAAAGCGGTCGCTGCCACCCAACAGGCAAGTGGCGAGTCTACTAGGTGTCTCGGCGGGCGGCAGCGATCGCGGTGTAAACTCACTAAGGCCAAGTTATCTCGGCACTAAGTAATAGTGAGCCGTGTGAGGTATGAGGTATGGTACGAGCACGATGTGTCGGTCGGCAGCCTGGCGTTCAGCGTGACGATGTTCTGCTCGGAGGCGGCGCTGGTGGTGCTGGTGCTGCTGCTGCGGCGGCGGCGCGCGGTGGGCGGCGAGCTGGGCGGCCCGCGCGCACTCAAGCTGCTCACCTCCGGCTTCTTCTTCTCGCTGTGGCTGCTCTACCTGCTGATGTCCGGCCTCGAGGCGTACGACGTCATCAAAGCATTTTAGTGGCCCCAGATATCTAACTCTATTGTGTTCATGAGAAAACTGACTGATATAAAGTGAAAGCATGTTTTCTGTAACAGTTTACATTTTCATATGTAGGCATATATTTATGTACTTTTAGTTACTGCAAAGGCACAAACTCCGGTCGCTCCTCCAGATACTCTGAAGCTGTTTTATCGACATTTACTTTAAATTTGAAGTAAATACCTTCATCTTGGTAGTGTTCAAGTAAATGATGGGTAATGCTCGAAATAAACTTTTCAATGTGTTCATATGCAGTTGGTAAATCTTAGATTGTCCGGAGTTGGTGCTCTTACAGTAACATATATTAAGTAAAACATGGGAAAGTGTCGTGCTCAAATGTACAGGTGTAGGACTGTTGTCGTGTTTCCCTCTTCCCTTAGTCGTTTTTCTCTCATATTTCCATTAAAGATAGTTGTAGCCTTAAAGGCTGTGCTTTCAAGGTCTAATTGTAGAATGTAAGTCGTAACTAAGACTAAAGCATTACGTAAGAATAACATCGACTTTTTAATTTGTTTTGAGATGATGGAGACCTCGAAACTTGTAGACGAAGCCATAATATTGCAAACGCTTTATCGAAATTTACAAATAAGGCAGCTTGAAGGCTTCGAGCTGGACGAGGCTGGGCGCAGCTCTCCTCACATCCTCGTTACTAAGTATAAAGGCCCCTGTCTACACTATAATTATTTGTTAAAATTTATCTAAACTAAATGTATGAATCCTTCCTACTGCACTGCGATTCTTTCATATTATGCACTTTTTCTAAAACTTTTAATATCTAATGACTTTAAACTTGAGCCACGTTCATTAAGGAGTGGCGAGCGGCGTGGCCGGCCCGGCCGAGGCTGCGGCGCGCTGCCGACTCTCGTTTCTTGTGACTCTTCGATGTGCACTCTCCTGTACCTGCGCAAGCCGGGCTACCGCGACTATACCTTGTGTAAATGGACTCACGACAATTGCATCTTTGTTATATGCTGATGTAATAACAGGTCCGTTGATACAAAATTAACTTATGAAAACATAGTAAACCGATATGTGCTTTAGAAACAATAATTCAATATATCATAAGACTATCAGGGAGCAGTACTTCTTAGCGTTCCCACGGGCTCACACTCAGACCCTACGTGAGCAGTAGAGGTAAGGCTTGCGACCCTCTATCCACGCCGCTCGGCGCCGGGGCGCTGCGGTCTGGTGCTGTTGTGCGCGTTGGTTGGCGTAGGGGCCTTCTTGTCGGCGCTAAGCCGTGCTGGTCGGAGATGGTTCACAATTGACAGCACTTTTTAGTGACTACGGTTATCATAAGTCTGTGAAGTAAATGGCACTTTTAATACAACGCACTCTAATTATATGTTTGTGTGTCCGGCACATGCGCAGGCGACAGGCTGTAGCCTTTGACTCTGTCACTGGCTCGGCGCGACGCCACTTTGTATTTTTATCTATTCTATTACAAAAGCAGTAAAACTAATAAAATAGCCAGCCACCAATTAACTCATATATTATGTACCTTTGTAATATGTATAAATTAAGTATAAAAATGTACAATGTTCGTAAAATAACAACGGCTTATGTAGAATTATTCAGAAATTTATTGTATAGTTTCAGAAAGCTTTTACAGCGTTATTATTATTAATTGTTTACAGATTTTTATATATTGTTATATTTACCTCGTTTAGAGAACTGCACGAAGTTGTACTTGTTGCGTACCGCTTCTATCATATTTTATAAGGCGTGGTGGGAAGTTTTTATTTCATATTGCCATATTACAAAAATATTCTGTGTGTCATTTGCGAAGATTGTTTTTTGTGGAATATTGTCTACTATGAGCACTGCAAGTGGTCAGTGCGCGATGTACACACGGAGCAGACTCTGACACTGATAGTTTATAACTTACGGCATACAAAGTGTTACTTTCCGAGGTTGACTCTGGTATTTATTGTGATCTGAATAATGTTCCACTAAGTTATTTATGTTACTGTAAAAGCACGAACTCCGCACAATCCTAAAGGGTGAACAATCTATCGGTATTGTACCTACCATAGGTTATACCAAAGTAAAGTACTTTAAGTACTATTTATCCTATCCAAAAACTAGCTGTTGGTAGAATCTATATAATTTTTTTTATTGGTTATTGATGGCTTGTAAGAAAGATGTCTACGTATCGATGACCTTCAAGATTCACCTCAGCTAATCGCTAAATCAGGTTATACCGATAAACTCAAGGATCCGCCGCAGTTCGAGCCTTTGCAGTAATATACATATACTTAGATAAATAAGTATATCGGTAGTTGTGTTTTTATTGTAATTGTTCGTATGTACCTAATTGTTTTCGTCCAGAGCTAGTGACCGGCAGCTAGCGGCTAGCGGTAAGATATTCACTTGTTTGTAATGTAGTTGTTATAACTAATACTAAGTTAATTTGTTACTTGCGAACTTGTTGTTGTTACATCGGTTTTCTTATTGTCGATTTTGATTATTTTTTTTAATACATACTAAACACATTGATTATTTTTATAATAATATTTAAACAGTTACGCTAGCGGGCGGCGGGGCGCTGGGATTTGTTTTATCTAGTGGATAAAAGTAGTATAGGTACAGTGTTACAATAATAATATAAATTAAATGACTATAGAAGATGTGGAACTTTGTTGCACCGGTCTAACTACGCTTTTGCAAAAGTTCCTTTCGCTCCTCTCTCCCCCTCTCCCTCCCCTGTCCTCGCTGCCACGTGTAGTCCACTCTTCGCTAGTCGTCCGGTTGCCAAGTGAATTTACCTATAGTTTTATTATCTCAATCGGCACTACGCTGATGCTTCAATTATATGTTCCATCTTAGCCTTAGATATCAGGCACCGTCCTTCTTTGTGTTCCTCGCATTAGTTTGTTTAGAGGCCCGCCGCCAGCGCCCCGGACAGCGCCCCGGACCACACCCCGGCCGGCGGCGACAGCGCCTTATGCCGTACGACCTGAAGGCCTGTGGTATAATTTGTAATGGCGTGAGACGTATTTGGTACAAAATAAAGAAAATTTATATTAAATGTGTTTTATTTCTGCATAAATGCTGTATCGATGTCAAAATACATGTATATGATACGCCAACATAGGACACTGTAATTGTGTGTTGATCTTAACGCATCACTCTCTCGCCCAAATAAACTGTTGCCATTTCTTACAACTCAGTAATCACCAGTTATTTTGTTATCGAAATTAGATTGTAATAAGTACAAATAGCTTACTCGAGGGGCTGAAGGTCGCGGCGGCGGGGGAGGGGGACCTCAACCTCGCCGCACCTACACTACACACTACACTACTAAATGTTAGGTTATTGCGAGTCTCTATTCGCAAATATAACTACTGTATAATAACTGTAAGTAAAATAAACTACCTCAGGAATAAAATATGCGACTAGAGACGTAGTTCAGATATCGTCTTGACTTCATTTAACTTACTTAATTCAGAATTATCTAGATATTAACTATGTTGATAAGTAGTTGAATCATATTGTACTCCAGCAATTAATCCATCTTAGTCATATGTTGAGTTGTTATAAGAAAATGATTCGGGGGATGGTCGATTAACGATTATGAAACAAGGAATCGAACTTCTCATTATATTAAAAATAATTAACACCACAATCATAATACACGCCGTGAACATAGAACGAGTAAAGTGTAGATAAACAAAGTTAGCTTGCGAGCGCCACACACTACATCCTTGATGAAAAATTGACCGTCACATCGACGTTTTTACAGGGCTGTTCGCAGAACGTGATTCAGAGCACGACTGCCTCCGTCCCGCGCACCCTCACACCCCTCGCACTCCCGCCACTGATACCATTTCATATATATACTTACTCCATATAGATATATATTTTTCAATAATTTTATATACATCTCTACATATGTACATAGGTATATATGGTATATACTAGCATATTTACACTCTTACCAAGATGATCGGGCAGGTGATACTCGCATTGGTGCTTTTGTCTTAGTCCCTTATCATTTACTCCCAACAAGTATTTTGTTTAGCAAGTTAAGTATTTATTAAGATATTTTCTGGCGGAGGGTGCGGGCGGGGGGTGCGGGCGGCGCGCGGCCGATAGCGACGCGACACCCGTTCGTTTGCTACGTGACTCGTAGTGCCGCGTGGTGTTCGTAGCGGTGCCGTAGCGTTCGTATTTGCGTAGCACTTGAGGGTAATAAATGACTTCACAAAACTTAATAAACTCGCGACACAAGGAGCAAGTTACTCGATGGCCGGTGAGGGGTATCGGCGATCATGCCATCTATGGTCTGTTAAACAGTCCGCTATTTCAAAATAGACTTTATTGCCAATTTATGTAGATATCAAAAGCATTCAACTACGAAACGATAAAAACTACATTCATTACCTTCATGTTATATTTGAGTGTAAAATTGTGGAAACGTAAAAAATAGTATTAGTGTGATTTGAACAGTATTCCACAACGTTGCTATCAAAAAAACATCAACCAATCAACAGAACGAATTTACAAAACCAAACGACTATAAATATTGATGGAAAATTCATTGCATTTCAAATAGAGTTGATTCGCAAATCTGGTTCGTTTGTTCGCACCAAGTGAATACGATAAATAAACATTGCCAGTTAACGTGAAGAGACACTCCCCGCGCCCCGCGCCCCGCACCCCGCACCCCGCACCCAACACACCGTGCCCCGCATGCCGCGCCCACCCCTCGCCCCGCGCTCATACACAACCCGCACACAACCCGCGGCGCAGCCTTATTGAAATAAATTATAAAAGTTCTAGGATTCGCCTTTGACTCCGTCCGCGAAGATTAAAAAAAACACAAGTAGCATAAGTGTTCTTCCAGACTGTTCACTACATTTACTTTATCGAGATGCCCTCAGCAGTTTAGGTTAAAAACTCTAGTACTGAATTGAATATTGTAATAATCTAATACTGAAAAAACTGAATTGATTGAATAGATAATTGAATGTGTCATGGTAATAATAACAAGTGCTGCGCCCACGTCCTCCGGAAACTTCTTCATTTAGCCTACATTTATTAAATTCCACAACGTTAATGTTTTTAAACATTCACGTAATGCACTCTACGTGTCTTTACTTGTCTGTGACAATGTCAGCTGTTTTATTCGCACATTCCGCAAATGGCCGAATGCTGTTTCCGTCAGACATTATATTTGTTATTTGACCGACGATACGTCGGAATTAGGTAAAATTAGTTCAGCAAACTTTAGGCTAAGTCTCGGCAAGCAAAAGGAAAACTAAATAAATGAAACAGTCGATGGGCGCCCGCTCTTTTTGCACCGCGAGAGAGAACTGCTCTCTAGATAGTTTTATTACGTTTATTAGGTTATTTACATTTTATGGTTTATTTTGTCAAGGTTTCTGACTGTAAAGTTTAATGTAACAAAAAGTTATGCGAACAAATTATTGATAAACTAAGAAATGTGTCCTTGATTATCCTATTTGTTGAAAAGGAATTAACAAATGTAGTTATTATGTTAAAGGGGTACGGTGGGGGCACATTTGTTTTATAATTGCCAAGTTCCGTGTTCAAGATTCAGGCCTCGCAGGAACTCCCTCGTAATCACTAAACGAGAGGAGGCGGGGGAGGGAGGTGTGTAATGGCTGTCGACTGCGAACTGCGAGGAGCCCCCCTACCACCGCGGTGCCGTCTCATTGAATCGACAAGGAAATCCCCTTTGTTTTGAGGACTCGAAATTGAACGAGACATTATACACAAATTGTTTAGCTCTACACTTTGTAATTCAATTCTTTGAAATTATTCCTATAAGTAGATAACAAAGTTCACACGACAGAGCTGCTAACAGACAGAGACAGATAATTCTCTCCGTTCCAAATAATATTAAATACTTTGTAATCAATTAAGTCAGCAAGATCAATAGTAAACACAGTAGAGTAGTAGTAGATGTCACGTTTTAACTAAACAGGGAACTGTAAACGTAACACACATTCTTACTTCGACATCGATGTTTTTGGAAGTAAGAGAATGACGCAAATGGTGAAGACAAGCGACATTACTGGAATACCGCCGCCACCGCTTAAACCTTCAAATCTTCGATACTTAATTCAAGAGGATGCAGTTAGGTTTCTTCCTTTTCTTCCCCATCATACATCCCTTCCCCTTCCAAGTCCATCTACCGTTGCCTTTGGAAGAGAAAGAGGTCTCGTTTATCCCCAGCATCGATCAGCGAAACGGTGAAATACTTTCTTATGATGTTACGCAGTAATCTTGTCAATTATAGCGTTTTTTTACAAAGATTGTTGTAATGCCGGAGCATAGACTATGATTGCTGGACTGGAATAATGTAAGCCGGACCGTGCATGTAACTTCCTCGTGGTAGCAAGACAGCCAGCTCGGTCAGTGCGCCGGCGCAGTCGGACATGCGCACACCGCTGCGTAACTACGTGCGTCCTGCTCACAAACTTCAATCCGTAGTAGTGTAATTACACAATTTTTATTACGTACTGTGGTAAAGTGAAAAAAGAATAAGACATAACTATGTCCGTTCTCATTCAAAAAAATACAGGATATTTAGCGGCCTCTTCCTTTATGTCGCAAATACGTATTTGAGTTTTGTAAAAATTGCTTTGGCCATTTACATGTCGCTCCAACATTACGCAGTGTGCTGTAACATCGCATATAACTAAGAGCATTTCGTAAATCTGGGGCTTGTCTGTAAATGCATGTAAAAATACGTTGTGTTTTTAATGAACAAATTAAAAAATAGTCAAATATATTGTTTGAAAGCAGTGGGAATCAATTGTTGCAACTATTGAATGATGTTTAACGAGTGATTATTTGTGTTGTCTAAATTGTAGTTACTTATTTCTATATAGTTAGGTAGAATGTGTATAAATCATGTCTCATTTAGGTCACATTGGCATAAACCATGATTTTTAAGTAATAGTGTTAAAGTGGAGGTTCGACTCGGTTATAAGGTAAAACGTTAAAGCACATTACTGAACTGCTTGGCCACCTGGCACTCGCCGCTGCGCCGCCCCTACATCGATGTTTCCGGTCTAGCTACGATCGTATTGTTGACAACGGACGGCAAGGTGCCGGCGGCGAGCCTATTCTGAGGTGACCACTGACGGCGCGGCGCGGCCCTGCCGTATCGCATGGACGAAGAGTGCGCGATAACCCGAGTGTAATGTTACAATGACAATTCAGATGGTTAGGGAAAAAAGCAATGAATTTGTTTCTTACATAATATTTTCTCAAGCTCTATAAACACGAATAATTATTATTTACTTTAGATAAAGGTAATTTCATAAAAGATTAATTAATTAATTTTCATAAGCGGATTAAGTGCAAGTATTGAAGAGATTATTTATATGTACATGTAAGTTGTCATCACCAATGTAATATCATCATTATCATCATCATCGTCAATTTCATAACACAAGACAGGGTGATACGAAACTTGTTTCTATAATAATGGCTGCCACGCACTGGACTATTTGGATCTTGGTGCTTCAAGTGCTCGCCCACAGCGCACACTGCGACCACGATGCACACAGTGACCACAACGACCACATAGACCACCGCGACCACATACACCATAGTGCCCAAAAAGACTATGTTGGCCACAGTTATCACAACGAACAGGGTGAACACAATGAGCATGGGGACCAAAAAGCCCACAATGCCTACAAGGACGACGGTGACAACGGAAACCAAAGCGATCGCAACCCTGACAGCGACCACGACTCCAACAGTGACCGCGGCGATCAAAATATTAATGGCGATCACAATGATCACGACCACAATGACCCTGACGCTAACAGTGATCACGGTGACCATCCTACTAATGACGATCAGAATGACGGCGGCATACACAGTGCCCTCGGCAACCATGGGATCTACAGAGACCTCGGTGCTCGCGACGACCTTGGTGACCACGGCGATCATAGTGACCAAGATGATAACAGCGAACACAACGCCCATGTCGATCATAGCGCATTTATCGATGACAATGTCCGCAACCCCCACGATGCCCACAGCGTTCAAACTAGTCAAAAGGCGCGCTTCGTTGGGAGACTTGTGGAGAAGACAGAGCACATTCTCGCGACTACTAGCAGCGGCGGCGTGCGGGGCCGGCTGGCACGCGACGGCAACTACTTTGCCTTCCTTGGCATACCCTATGCCGCAGCGCCCACGGGATTGCTTCGATTGAAGGTAGGGTTCGTTCTTATTACTGTATTGTAAATTTTTTTGTACGATTTATCAGTTTATTTAGATGCATGTGCCATGCAGATACGAATACCAGCACTGTCTTAATAGTTCTATGTAATAATTAAATTTGTTACAAATATTCCTTCTAAATATGTAGTTCTTTCATAGCAAACATGTCGTTTCATCGTAAATGTCTAAAAATGATTATAGTTACATATGCCTAAATTGTTTGCTTTGTATATTGGTTGTGTCCGCAGGCGCCGCGGCCACCGCCCGCGTGGAACGGCACCCTGGCGGCCGAGCGAGAGGTCGTCTGTCCCCAGCAAGGCGTTGGCGAAGAGGACTGCCTCGTAGTAAACGTTTTCGTTCCTAAAACTAAAGCGAAGCGTGCGCTTCCCGTCTTAGTATACATACACGGGGGCGCCTTTCGTTACGGCTCCGGACCTACCCGAGGCGTGGCGTCTATAGTCCAGCAGGGCGTTATGTTAGTGACCATAAATTATCGCCTCGGCCCGCTGGGTTTCCTTTGCCTCGGAATTGACGAGGCTCCGGGTAACGCGGGCCTGCAAGATCAGTTGGCGGCCTTGAGATGGGTAAAGACGAACATAAAACACTTTGGTGGCGATCCAAATAGTATAACCTTGTATGGAACGGATTCCGGAGCGGCGTGCGTCGAACTTTTAGTGCTTTCAAACGCGAGCGCAGATTTGTTTTCAGGAGCCGTTATCGAATCCGGCTCTAGCAGCGCGACGTGGGCGATCGACGACCGTCCCCTCTGCACCGCCAAAAACTTCGCGAAAGCATTTTCCGTGTCCGAGTTGGAACATCCGCATAAATTATTGGAACTGTATCAAGATGTACCGGCGAGTCTGTTGACCAGAGTCAACGAAAAATTCGCTAATACCTTCACCGACGGCACGTACGGCTTCGCGCCGTGCGTGGAAAGGCCCTTCGATGGCGTAGAATCTATTATAACCAGTCCACCGTCGGAACTCATGAAGAAAGAACGACTCAGTGACTCGCCTTTATTGTTCATATTCGCTTCCTTGGAAGGTTTGTTTCTTAAAAGTAGAGAATATTACGCGTTAAATTATATGAACAGAATGGAAGCTAATTTCGCGGAATTTTTGCCTTCCGGCCTCAACTTCGATAACGAAATTAAAAGAATCGAAAAAGCCGCGGAAGTGAGGCGTTTCTATTTTGCAAACGAAACCGTAGAAAATAACAAATTGGCTTATTTGTGGTATTTCGGAGACAGCCAGGTGCTGCGAGCAGTAGTCGGCGCGGCGGAGACGCACGCGCGACGAGGACGCCACGTCTACCTCATGGAGTTCGCGCACGGCGGCACGCTGGCCGCCCGCAGCGCAGACTCCGAGCGCGACCAGCTGTATGCGAACGAGGCGGGCCACGGCAGCTTCAGTGCTCACGTTATTTTGAACAAAACCGTACAATCTGACAGCGCAGCGATCAATTGGCAATGGACAGAGCGGCCACTCTCTTGTGTAGTTTCGTAAAATATGGGTAAGTAAGATAAATAAACCAATTGATTACTATCAATATTTCAACAAACAAGATAATATGGTCTAATTCGTAGTAGCTTTTGTATATATTTTATATTTTTTGGAGTTTCCGAGATGAGAGATGCCACTTAACCCGCCTAGCGGCACCGATGACTTTGATATGTTTCTGCACCTAATCACGGACTTACAATTCTCTCGTAACGGTGGCTGTAAAAAGCATCTGTTATTCTCTAACTAAACTATATAAGTTAAGTTATATACTCGTTGTAATAAAAACAAAAGAGACTACGCAGGATAAGCTAAATAAAACGTTAATTAGCCATGTGTACTATTCCAGAGAGCCGACACCAAACGTGACGCAGGTGGTACCGCTGCGCTGGCCGCGACTGCGTCCGCCACTCGTGCCCTACCTGCGCTTCGGTGACGACCTCCAGCTCCTCGAGGCGCCCTACAGCGAGAGGATACAGTTTTGGAAACAATTATTTTACGATTTCGGAAAAAAAAAATCCAATTATGAATCGTATCTTTGCTAGAAAAATAATAACTTGAGATTTGTTGTTTTATTGTATAATTTAATATTAACAGGCATATAGATAGAAATATTAAAACGGCTATGGATAATAAAGTTGAACAGTTTTATCATAATGAATATTTATTGTTAGATGGATAAGTGTAAGTGCACGAAGGCTAAGACATAGAGACTTCAATGTAATTAATAGTACAAGTATCCATACTCGAGGTCGTAGTCCGCGGGGGAGTCCGCGGGCGCTTGCGCCGGCCGGGCGGAGGCTGCGCGACGCGTCATGTACCCTTCGAGGTCGGGGTAGGACTCCAGCAGCATGCGGGCCTGCTTCTTGGTCATGGTGCCGTTGATGACGATGTCTCGGAAGGTGGCGTTTTGCATGAAGTTCCTGTTGAGCATCCGTATCTGGTTAAGCTTCTTCATGAGCGCGGCGTCCACCTTGATGATCTCCATCTCGTGGATGTCCTTCACAGACTGCCGGTCCTTGCGATACTGCTTCTTTAACTCTTTGATAAACCTCTTCAGTTGCTTCGTCTTCTTCTTTCTCATTGCGGTTCCATTCTTATAAGCTCTATCCAATATTTTCCGTATCTCTTTTATGATGTTCTGAATATTCTTCTTGATTTTGCGCTTTCTCTTGTCTCTGTCGCGCTTCCGTTTCCGTTTCTCTCGTTTCTTCTTCCGCTCGCGGCGCTCGCGTGAGTTGGCGTCGCGCACCCTCTTCTCCTCGGAGTCGGTCTCGAGGCTGGACTCCTGGAAGGAGATGTCGAAGCCGCCGTACATGTCGTAAGTGGAGAGTTGCAGTGCGCAGCACACGAAGGTGGTGCGGCCGCAGGAGAAGTCGCCGCGGTAGATGCGGTACTCCGCCTCGCACTCCATCGGCAGCATGCACGTGCCCCAGGGCATGTCATGCTGGTTGGGGTCGCCGCACGGCACGCCCCACGGCCCTTTAACATCGCCATTTATCTACTTAACTACTTACATATCTATACAAATACATCTTATTCAAATATTTTAACAACCTTAGTAGACAATCAAACAACTGTTTAAAAAATAAACTGCGAGAAGTAAGTCGCGTATTTTTAATTTACTTTTAATGTCGTAAGTTTACAGCACAAAAATTAAGAGAAAGTGATGATTAATCAAGTTAGGTTTGTAAATAAAATAAAAATATTAAAAGAAGGTAAATCTCCGGGTTAGATGATCAAGGCTAAACGATATATTTTATCGGCTACTAGAGTTAAACCAAAGCCAGTTGAAATACTTTGTGTGCAACAAAACAAATAGTCGATATAGAAGCTAATTGAGGGTGTGTGATGGACGTAGGCTTACTCGCGGCGGCCATGTTGACTGTGTCGCCCTTAGGGATAGAGGAGTTGAGCGCCTCGAGCTTCTTGGCCAGCCAGATGTCCTTCCATTCCTCTTTCCAGTTCTGCATCTCTACGCTGGAGCTGGAGCTGAGGTAGTCCTCGGCCTCTTTCTTGTGGCGGCGCGCCAGGGCCGCGGCCGGACGGTACAGGTTCATGATGGCGTCCTGCTGGAATCCGCTCGGCTCCTCCTCCAGCCCGCGCGCGCCGTACTCGCTGCCTCGAGGCTTCACCGTTAAACTCAACGCACGCGCCTTCATTTTAATCTTCTTTAAAGTGTTTACATCGTCCGCTTTGAGATAATTGTTTATTATTTCATTTCTGTGAAATGGATCGGTGATCACATCTTGTGCGTCTTTCGCCGCTATTTTATTACTAAATATTTCGGGGTCGGCAAAAGGAATGATGAAGATGACGTCGATGAAGGCGACCAGTAGGATGCAGTTCTGTACGGACCTCATTGTCCGCGGGACATGACCGCGGCCGCGGCAATGCGCGGGGCCTCTCGCTGCCATAAAACTTTTATGGCCATAACTTATTTAAATCATGAAATAACTTCATGATATTTGTATTTGTAATATTTCACAAATTTTAATGGACAATAAATTTCAATAACGACTTTTTTTTTTGTGGCTGAATGGCTGTTTGCCTTGAAGAGGCATTTACAGATTCACCGGGCTTAAGGTGGTCGAGCGCAGGTGGCGCTTAGCCTAAACCTCGTTTATTTACGAGTAACTAAGCTGAAGTGCTCCTTCGGGAGCCTCGGCACAGGCAGTTACTTCGTCATTATTAGGTTTAGGTTTAAAGATATTTATTCTCATAAAAAACACAATTATTACCGGATTGGAAACGATAAAGTGTTGTGTGGTATACGTCAATGATGCACATACTTGGGAATTCGTTGACGGCGGCCACCGATGAAGCGGAGGAGATAGATATCTATCGAAATCTATATCTATCAAACTTAATATTATAACAGCGCGAAACCGAAAAAAAAAAGTAAAGTAAAAGAAGTAACTAGAAAAGTGAATTAAATTAAGCTAATTGAATTTAACGCTATGTTATTACGCTATTACACATAGGGAGCAAATAATTTGGAAAAAAACGGTCATGCGGGAAAGAGACAAAAACTATAAGTTGATAAAATAAAGGAAGCAAGGTTGCCATGGTAACGGTAATAGTTATAAAATGTCCAATAAAACAAAGTTGAAAAATTGTACTGTTTTATTTATTTACTTAATTGGTGAATTATAAAACAGCAATAAAGTTCATTAGTTCATAGACGTTTTATGTAACAATATAGGTCCATGTGTATTCAGCAAGTCCATTAGGCCACCACATCCTGGGCATCGTTTGCAGCCTAAGCAATAACTTCAACAACTGCCTCTGGCCGCTCCAGCCACAGCTGCTCCTTGTCTTTGTCCAAAAGAAAACTCTTTATTGTCCCACATGTGTTACACCTCCATTGCATCAACTTTCTTTTATTGTTTGTTTTCAATTGCATTTTAGCTGAAACCCCATCGACAAATGTGCAGCGACACTTTTTACAAACAAGTCTTTTTATATCTGGATGTCTGAAAACAAATTGTCACATTAGTAAACTCATATACAGAAAATAATAATATATTTTACATAGGTTTTAAGTAAATAGAGTTTGAAGAATGCTTTTGCACAGTTCAATCCCTAGAAGCAGTAAGCAGCAGGTGTACTTTAATTCAGGTTTGTTTAATGTTGGTCAGTGGTATACTTGTTTTATCACATCACTGATGTTATTCATGATAATGTTCAAATTGGAACGCAAATTACTTTTTATTCATCACTCAAATTTAAACCAAAGCATAAGAAGTTACTGACTAACTTACTTACATTTTTAGTACATTTTTCTTAGCAACATTAATTATGAGGTTTCCATAGTATGAAGACAATCCTGCATTTTTACCTGCCATACATTTACTTATCTAAAACAATATTAAATATCTTAGTGTATTAAAAGAATTGAATGAGCGCAAATTTGTCTTACATATTTGTATAAAAAAGAATTTTAACGGACAGAAAATAAAGACAAACCTGATATAAATAATTTATACGCTGAAAAGAATCATTACCGTGTACCTTACGCATCTTTATTTTTCTCGAATTATTATAAAAAAAATTAAATTATAAATGCGAAATAATGCAATGATTTATTTGGATATTTTGATTTTGCCAATTTGACATTGACATTTTTAAATAATAGACAAATCTATCAAGCACAAGTCTATGAACGTAATTGCTGGAATTCAAATTCCCATTTGTGTTTTATGATGATGATCTAGTTCCTGTAATAATTAACATAGTGCGGCCGCATACCTTTGATTAGATGTCGTACAACTGTTGTGCGACTGTCGTTTTTTTTACAGCCAACTCATCTGTTTAGTTCACAACTAAAAATCGAGTAGTGTGCGCACATTCATACGAGCTCATAGGACAAAGCGGGAGAGTTGTGCGATAGTTAGAGTCGTGCGATAGTTTAGTCAAAAGCGTGGGCGCGCTCTTAAGCAATTTTAATTACCTATGTGGGTAACTAGTCCCTATAACGTGGTGTTCTTTAATCATTGTGAATTAAAAAAAAAAGGCTGTTAAAACTTTTTAACCAAAGAGAAATAATCACTACGGTTTTGACAGCTCTTGTTTGGCTTTTGTTCATCTTGTTGACAGGTGGAAGTGGAAGAGACTTTTCTTGTCCTTGTCACTTTTCCATACCGTTTGTATTTTAATTTATTAATAAATTGTTAATGGTATTCAACAAAACAAACAAAACTTGGCTTCGTTGTCAGTAAAAACATTTATGATAACTCCGTATTTATATAAGTCTCTTAAAAATAACCTTCAAAATTAAAGCTAAACCAAACCGTAATTTACCCATGATCTTCATGATTTTTCTAAATTAAAATGTTAAGTAGGAGACGACTTCTCTTGTCAAAGTTAAAATTAAGAGGACTGTGCTACTGTCGATTAGTTTCGACACAAACAAATGTGGGTGAAATAGAAGTGCCTTTTACGAATGGGTGAGTTTTTGAACCTAAAATATATTACATAGAACTGAGGAGAGGCCGGTCTAGACATCTACGTTGAAATAATCTTGAAATCGCAGTATTAGATTGAACACAGTTGCAAAGCTGGTTGTACCACGCAAACACCTGCTATTGGAAAGCACAACTTATGTCTTAAAACTAGGTAACAATATTTGACGTTAGACTATCAATTTTGAAGTTGACCCTTTAAAGACAGATGTTCATATAGATTCACAGTAAAAAAGTCATACAAGAATAACTGGCCTAAGTTAAACTGGAAGGGCTATAGGATTGGTACTAACAGTTGATATATTGAATGTTTCAGAACAACATTGAAATTGTCAACGGGGCGCTATGCAAGGTTTGCAGATGGGGCGTGCGTGGCCACACTGGGAAACACTAGTGTGCTGGCCACCGTGGTAGCCAAGGCCAAGGCCGGCGCCGCGTCTTTCCTCCCTCTGGTGGTTGACTACAGACAAAAAGCAGCAGCTGCCGGTCGCATACCTACCAATTTTCTTCGAAGAGAGCTGGGTATTTACTTCTATGATATCATATGGAGCCTCAACTTTATACCTTAATTTTAAGAAAGTGAGATATTTATTTTTTTGCATGCACAGGGCCGACGGAGCGCGAGATCCTGACGTCGCGGTTGGTGGACCGCTCGGTGCGGCCGCTCTTCCCGCAGG